CACACCCTGCCTCTTGAAGTCAGAATGCCTCCTCAGCACTCTGCCTCTTGAAGTTCTTGAAAGTGCAAGGGTTTCACAATTAATCTTATACCAAGTGAAAGACCTTCAAGCATCTTTGCACAAACACCATCTTCAAGTATCGAATTGACAGTGATTAGAAAACAGCTGTAAGCCTGCATCAGGAGATTCCAAGAGCCATTTTGTAGAAACATACTGATTTGACCATGTTGGCTCCTTGATCTCAAAGCCAAGAAACCTGTCCAGCCTTCCCATGCTGTTGACTCCTGACAATGTGTCTAGCTGCAGGGATATGTGTTCCAGGCACCTACTGGAACAGAAGATACTGTCATCCAGGGAGAGACAAGTTCAAAACTCAGAAGTATACCTGGTTAAGTGCAGAAAAGATGAGAGAAATAAAACCAGAAATATTTTTAAATAAAAATATTTTTATTGATTTCATGAGTATGGGTGCTTGCCCAAAAGTGTGTGTGTGTGCCATATGCATGCCTGGTTCCTGCAGAGGCCAAAAGAGAGCATTGGATCCCCTAGAATTGGAGTTTCAGAGGTTTGTGAGCTGCCACATGGATGCTGGAAATCGACCCCACGATGTCTGGAAGAGAAGTCGGTGAATGTTTTTCTTTACTCCTGTCTATATTTTCTAATGTCCTTATCAGACATGCATAACTTTTGTTATACATACCAAATGACTGAAGAAAAGAGGCAAGAGTGGCAGCTATTCAAATGTCACCTGGGAAGGCTTGGCTGTCCCTGGGCATCAATTGTCATCTAGTGCTTCATAATAAGTTGTGTTTTCTTTTGTGCCAGGCAATGTTCTAACCCCAAATTCAGTCTGAACATCCTAACCAAAGAATTAAACCACATATTGGATTACATCTCTACCTCCCCCATCCAAAGCTTTCAGACTTTGTGGAAATAACACCAAATTCTAAGTATCAGGAGTTGTGGAAACCCTCTGTCTTAGTCCACTTCTAATTCTATTGCAGAGCATCATAGGCTTGATAATCTATAAAGACCAGGCATTTATGTTGACAGTTAAGGAGGGTAGAGGGTCCAAGGTCAAGACACCAGCAGGGTTCTTGTTTGGTAACACCTGCTATCTCCTTTCAAGGTGGTGATTTACTGCTGTATCCTCTGGGGGGCAGCAATAAAACTGGGTATCATACCAAGGCAAAAAATGGAACAAGCCACGTGTGTTACCCCTTGTTCCAATGTGGTTCCTGCCAGAAACTATAAACGGATGTTTCCTGTACCGACTGCCCAGTTCCAAATAACCAACTCAGAGGCTGAATATGAATTATAAATGCTTGGCCAATAGCTCAGGCTTATTACTAACTAGCTCTTACAACTTAAATTAACCCATTTCTATTCACCTATGCATTGCCATGTGGCTCATGGCTTTACCTGTCCTTTAGCACGTCTTCCTTCCTGGGTGGCTGGCTGACATCTCCTCTGACTCCACCATCCTTCTTCCCATCATTCTCAGTTTGACTTTCCCACCTACTTTGATGCCCATTGGTTGATAAAAAGCCTGTGAGCTTTTTATCAACCAATGAAAGCAATACATAGTCATAGTGTACAAAATAATTGTTCCACAGCATTTCCGCTTTTTAATTTAATTAAAAATGAGGTTTTCACCTTAATATAGTAAAACTATATACAAGAGTTATTAAGTAAGAATTGTAGTAACAATATCCAATCCATTTGTACTTGACAAAATTAGAGAAAATGCTTAATTAGCTATATAGTGTCTGAAGTTTTATATCTAACTTACTTTCTATTATAACTAAGGAAAACTATAATTATAACTATTTAGTCTTCAACTCCATCAAAGACCCTGGTAAGGAGGAAGTACAAGCAAGGGACTTCCAAAAATGTGAGAAATGACAGAAACAGCTGGCTGCCTGTTCCTCTGCAACACTGGGGCATCCACCTATAGATTTTTTCAGAAGCAGAAAAGTTTGAAGGATTGTCCTACCCTGTCTTGGCAAAGTTTAGCAGTCACCTTTCTTGTGTCCTGCTGGTCCAGTTTGGACAGTAACTGTCAGTAATTAAGGCAAGGGCAGTTTCTTTGCCATAAAGGAGACAAACTCCACATGGAGTTTCTTTGGTGTTCATCATTTTCTCTGAAGTAGATTGGTGCTGCCAGGAGTAGACATGTCTCACTGTGATTTTAAAAATCTTATGTTATTAAAACATCTTAAATGCCATATTCTGTAGATCTCTGAAGTGTAGACCACCTGTCCATCTAAAATATATCTCTCCTTGACCTTGAAAACATACCTAACATGACTACAAGTTTGATTATAATAGGAGACTACTAACTTGAATTTCTTAACTTCCTGCCCAGCTGCCTGCCTATCAGCTCTTTATCAACCAATGAGAGTAATGCATATTCATATCATAGAAAAGGATTGTTCCACAGCAAGAAACACTTAAAAGAGGAAACTCAGGTTACAGGGAGTTCTCAGGTCATCACCACAGCAAAGAAGGCATGATTGTGCTCATAACAGCAAGGATGTGCAATCGATCAGGAGGCAGAGAACTCAGACCAGCACCAGAGGAGAAGTCTTCAAGGTCTACCCAAGTGACCTACATCCACCAGTAAGGGGTCATATACCAAAGGCTCTATAACCCCTAGAACAGCACTACCCCCTGTATACAGGTACCTGTACACAAGAGCCTGTGGGACATTTTACATCCAAACCATAAAGCTACAAGGGGAAGATGGGGATTTGTGAGGGGAAGGAGACTCCTATCCCACTGGTGACATTTGAAAGGGACACATTCAAACTGTAACACCATCTTATGTCATCTGTTCATTAGGACAAATAGTCTCATCTTGTCATTTCTATGAAGGCAGAAGGTTTCAAATGCATGGTTTGAGTCACAGGTGTGACAACCCACTTTCCCCAAAATTCCATCCCAACAGGCCGGGTGCCTGGAATGTGTTTAGCACTGGTGTGGGCTTCTACCTTAGGGCAAACTTGAGGTATCCCTCCACCAGGTGCTCACTCTTTACCTTTCCCTCTCAAGGTGCCTCCCCTCAGCAGAAAAACTAGAAGCAAAAAGCACTGACAAGAGGAAGCTGGAGTTTTCCCAGGAAGTCTTGTGATTGCCTCAAATGACCATATTTGTTAAGCCTAGTTTGTCTCATTTTATTTTATGAAAGAAAAATAAACCACCATTACAAATTAGCTTTGGCGATACCCCAAACCATTTTCATGTTCCCATTTTCATTCTGCCAATTATAACAACAACAAGCAAACAACAACAAACCCATGACACTCCCTCCCTGTACTGTAACCCAGGACAGCCACCAAACAGCAGAAAGATGCCCGACTCCTGTCAGCTTTGCGATAAACTCACCAGCCACATGCTGGTTTTAAAAAAATGTCCCTTCTTCCAACAGTGACTTCTCAAACGCTAGGTTGACAGGCTTACACCACCATGCCCAGCAATAATAACCAGGCAGACTGCCTAGCAGCCAATCCCCTTTCATTTCTAATCCCCCGTCCAGAAAGCCTTTTAGACCACTTCCTGATGGGTAGAGAACAGTCAGCCAATAGATATTTGATTGATTTAATAAAAAATCTGAGGTTTGATGTCTTCTAGCCAAGCCTTTTGGAATCCTTTGGGGGGTGGGAGGGTGCTGGTCCCTTACCTAACCTAATCTGGTCACCCTCTCCCACTCCTCCCTTGCCCTCCTGACGCAAGTGGAAGGCCTTTGAGAAGTTCAAAGAAGTGTTCACCCTGATCCAGAGCAGGCAAGCGGGTGTCTTCACAGTAAGTGGTCTGTGAGGCAAGAAGGCCCTGAGAGATGGTATTCATTAAGACAGACTAAATGTCAAGCAGCCACAGGCACTGCTTGCTTCTAACTGGCTCAGATCTAGTTTCACTGTAATTGAATCATCTCAGCCAAAGGCTGTGTTTGCTAGCCCTCTCATTTCCTCAGCTGTTAAGAGCCCACCCACGCACGTGCGCGCGCGCACACACACACGCACACACGCACACATGTGGACTGACACAACTACTTTATACCAACTGTAACTCTCCCGGCTCCAACACTTCTTTACCACCATGACTCCCTGGATCCTGATACTGGACACAAATATTTAATCCCAGTCCAGTTTTGTGTTTATCAATGGTGTTCCACATCTCTTCCTCAGCAAGCAGACGGGAAATCCAGTTTTCCCTGGGGTTTGTGGCTCCTTCTCTCCCAGTATTAGCAGCAATTTGTGTGCATGCTGCGGGAGTGTGTAACATATAAATGGGGCTGTGTGCCCATGTACAGGAGGGTGCGAGTGATCCTGTGTGTGGAGGTCAGAGGTCAATGTCAGAGGTCTTCCCCAATGACTCTCCAGGAGTTCTTGGGTTCCAAACTTGGGTCCTCCCCAGCTTCCTACCCCCTGTGCCTTCTTATTAAGATCTCATTAAGTTGCCAGCTCAGCCTTGAACTTGAGAGTCTTCTGATTCGATTTCCTGAATATCTGGGGTTACAGGCTTCATCTGTCCAACTCAGCAGGCATCTTAAACAAAAGTATTGTTTCCTCTATGCTGCTTCAGGACAAGAGCAGAAAGAGCTGCTAAATGTTTCTCTTTGGACAAAAGTGACCAGATGAGCTGGGCAGAGTGGTGTATGTCTATAATCCTTGCACTCGGGAGGCTGGGGGGTGGGGAACGCTGCTTTGAGTTTGAGGTCAGCTTGAACTAATTAGTGGGCAGTCCGAGTCAACTTGGGCTACATAGACTGTCTCCAAAGACATAAAAAGAAGGCGGGAGAGAAAAGAAAAAGAAGAAAGGAAAGAAGAAGAGAGAATAAACCAACAGGCAATGACCAATGCACTTTCTAGACCCCTGTTATAGTTTATGGGGAAATGTCTAAATATTGAGCTCGAAAATCTCCCTCTTTAGCAATTTCTTGCTCCTAGAGTTTCAGCAATTGCTTTCTCGCTCCATTAGGCAACCTTTCATTTTCTCACCTTCCCCATTATGTAACGGGAGCAATGGGTTCTGGACCAGTCTTCCATTAAAGATGATTTTTATAGTCGGTGAGCGCCGTCAGGGAGTGATGACACCTGGGGGCGGTTTAAACCGTACAATCCCTTAAACCAGTCTGGAGCGGTGACTCATTTCCCCAGGGAGAAGTGGCGCGGCCATTGGTGAGCACGACGCAAGCCCCGCCCCACCCAGCCCGGCCCCGCCCTGCTACCCCTCCTGACTCACTGCCCCGCCCGCTCCCCCGCGGCGTCCGAGCAGCAGACCGAGAAGGCACATCGAGTCCACTCGTCGCGTCGGTGGCAGGTAAGCGGCTTCTGAAGCCTGGCCCCGGGAAGGGTGCTGGAGCCAGGCCTCGGTAAGCCTTCGGCCTTCCCAGAGCCAAGCCCGGCTTACTCCGGCTCTCGGGGCGCTGAGGCCGCGGGGCTGAGGTTGAGTCTGGCTGGGAGGTGACCGCGCACCCGCAGCCGCGCGTCTCCTTGAGGGACCGAACCCCAGGAGAGGCCAGGAGCCATCCCTTCCTCCCGAGCCCGGCTCACCCCCAGAGTCGCTCGGGGATGGGGGATGGGGGATGGGGTGGCATCTTTTGACTGTCGTTTGCTGTTTTCTTCTCTCTTTGTAATAGCTACAGCGAACATAATTTTACCCAGGGTTCCACCGTGGTCTCGTCCGTCCTCGGCATCTCTCAGTCCAGTACATACCCAAGGCCCTGCGGTTTCACTGCCCTGCCTGGGGATTTCACTGCCCTACCTTGGCGTTTTCACGGCTGTCTTATTTTCTTGTGCTTTGATTATCGTGGCTTGTAATAACAGTTGCCCATGTGCTGAATTCCCCATTTCATTAAGAGAAACTCCTGGCAGGATGGGGTTAAAGACTTGTGCAAATCTAATTATATAATAAACAGAAGCCAAATTTTCTAATTTAAATATCAGACACCTGGAAAAATTATTCAATGAAGAAAAGGAACTACTTTACCTACACACACATCTGAGAGCCTTAAAGAGGGCAAGGACGTAGAAAACTAAGAGGTGATTTGTGTTTTATTTTTATCTGACACAAGCTTTCCATATTATTTTAAACAGGGACTAAATGATGAGTCATTTTTCTGAATAAAATGCAAATTAAAGCAAGTTTGTTTGTTGTTTTTACATCTAATAAATGGACAAAAACAATGGCAACAGCAACCTAAACTGAGAGGTTGCCCAAACCACCATATTCAGGTTTGGGGGCAGGTGGCCCTACTTAAGGGCTAAAACGATGGCGTTACATCCAACTTTATGACGTCACATTTCCTGAGGTTCCTTTTGTTCTTTCTCTTTTTTTAAGACTTAAGTATGTATTTTATGTGTATGGGTGTTTTGCATCCTCATATGCATGTATGTGCCTGGTTCCGAGGAGGTCTGAAGACGGTGCTGGAGGCCCTGAAACTGGAGTTATGGATGGTCATGAGCTAGTACCACGTGGGAATTAGGAACCAAATCCATGTCCTCTGGAAGAGCAACCAGTGCTCTTAACTGCTGAGCCAGCTCTCCAGCCCCTTTCATTCATTCTTAGAAAGGAGAAAATGCTACCTATGTCTGGCATCTATTGCAAAGACGGTCTGTGTAAAAGTTGACGCTGAATGTCTACTGTTCTATTTTTCATTCACATTTGACTGAGGATATTGTCAGTCAGTTGGGGGCTCTTTTGTTTGGTTCATTGGTTAGTTTGGAGTGTTTGCATCTTTGTGAGTTCATAACAGGCTCTCAATATGTAGCTCTGGCTGACCTGGAATTTGCTGTGTAGATCAGGCAGGCCTCAAATTTGTGGCAGCCCTCCCTGGTACTCCCCAGAATGCCGGGTTACAGGCACGAGCCACTGTGCTCCACAGTGGAACAATCTGGTGAGGTATTATTAGTTGTGAACTGTGACCCAGAAACGCTACTTCTGGCAATTTACCTGCGATAGAACAAAGGGCTATGGGAGCCATATGCCAAGTGGTGACTTAAATTTAGAGCCAACTGAGAATCAGTCTAAATGTTTAACAGCTGAGCAGCTAAGAAAACTATGACAGGTTTGTGAAAGGAACCTTAGGGATCCTGAACACTCTTCATTTTGGTCTCCATGTACGACTGGGGAAGACTGAGAGTCAGAGTATGGGTTGGGAGATGTCGCCTCTCCTGGACTCAGTACCCTATGCATGTGAAAACCCAGAAGAAAAGCAGAAATGAAAGGGCTCAGAAAACACCTCTGATCTTAACTTCATGCTTGTGAATGTACTATTTCCCACTAACTTGTCTGGAAAAAAACACAACAGTCCCCAGGCTTCTTAAAATACTGGCAATTGAACCCAGAGATAGTGTTTAGTTTCTAAAATGACATAGAACGTGCCATGTTTGCTTTTGGGAATCTATCTGAGCTGTTCTTATTTCCGTTTTCAAATACTGCCCCATTTTTATGTGCCTGTATTTATTAGTGGTTTGGTAATTTGTATATTAGATGGTATTTCAGTACTTAGATTTATTCATCAATTCTAATTTTTCTTTTTCATGTTTTGAAGGACTCCTGAATATATTCCAAAACTGAACAATTTCAACTGAGCTGAAGTACTCTGTTTTTCTAGAGGTACCAGTTCAGTTTAGGAGAGTCACAGCAGATCGTAAGTGCCCTGTCAATCTTGGTAGAGGGCTTGAAAATCTCCAACTGTCTGGGGAGATGGGGACCAGAAAAGACTAAGCTCCACACTTGCTCCAGAGGCTCCTAGTAACGTGGGACATAAGCCTTGCTGTGCACTAATGTCCTGTAAAGTCAGCTTTGTCCAGGGGACAAAGGCCAGAGCTTTCTCTAGGACTGTGCCGGTTTAGGGAACTGCAAGCATTTCTCTCTCTCTCTCTCTCTCTCTCTCTCTCTCTCTCTCTCTCTCTCTCTCTCTCTCTCTCTCTCTCTCTTTATTTATTTATTAGGTTTTTCGAGACAGGGTGTCTCTGTGGCTTTGGAGGCTGTCCTGGAACTCACTCTGTAGAGAGGCTGAACTCACAGAGATCCGCCTGCCTCTGCCTCCTGAGTGCTGGGATAAAGGCGTGTACCACCATCTCCCGGCAATTTATTTATGTTTATGTGCATTGACATTTTTGCCTGCATGTCTGTGCAAGTGTGCCATGTGGGTCCTCTGGAAGAGCAGCTGGTGCTCTTAACCACCTAGCCATCTCTCTTGCCCCGTGCAAGTATTTTAAAAGTAATAATAACAGATAAAATTTCTATGCCAAATCTTCAGTTTCCCAGAAGCATCAAACTTCCCTTCCTCGTGGTTTGTGGTACCCACTGATGTGCCGGGCCCTTGTTACAGAATGTATGCATGCTTCCATATTTGGACTTTAGCCTGCTGGTCTGTTTCTGAATCTCAATGACTTTATGGTATTTTTAGTGACTTTATATGATTTATGTCTGGTGTGCCTCATTCTCCCCTCAATCTTCCTTTAAGGTTGGCTTTGTGATTAATAGACATGTCTTTTTTCCATGTGAGTTTATTAAGCTTTCCAAAAAAAATGGACGTGGAATTAAAGTTTTGAATTTCTGCCATATAAACCTCTTTTTTATTTAGTTTTGCCATTTCCAGATGTTTTATAGTTTACTTGTTTGTGGATATCTTTTTTTTCTAGTTAATTATGGCCGGTATAGAAATGATGTTGGTTTCTGTGTAGTCATTGTGGTGGTTTGATGAGATGTTTCTGTAAGTCTCAGGCATTTGACTATTTGGTCCCAAGTTGGTGACTATTTGGGAAGGATTAGGAGGTGTGGCCTTGCTGGAGAAGTATGTCACTGCAGGATGGACTGTGTGGCTTCAAAAGACTCCTGCCATTTCAAATTAGTGTGCTCTCTCGCTCCCTCCCTCCCTCCTTCTCTTTCCCTCTCTCCCTCTCCACCCCTCCCTCCCTCTCCACCCTCTCCCTCCCTCCTTCCCTCCTTTCCCTCCCTCCCTCTCCCTCTCCACCCCCTCCCTCCCTCTCCCTCTCCACCCCCTCCCTCCCTCCTTCCCTCCTTTCCCTCCCTCCCTCTCCCTCTCCACCCCCTCCCTCCCTCCTTCCCTCCCACCTGCTGCCTTGCTCCCCACCCCACCCCCCTCCATTATAGTGATAGCCGCCTACCCCTCTGGAAGTGTTAACACCAAATGAACCCTCCTTTTTATAAGCCACCTTGGCCATAGTGTTTTATCACAGCAATAGAAAAGTAAGACTTGCATCCTATATCCTGCAATCTTGCTAAATTCTGGTATTGGGTTTTTGGTTGGTTGGTTGGTTGGTTTGGTTTGGTTTACTTTTTGTTTCTCAGTATAGCCCTGGCTGTCCTGGAACTCAGTCGATAGACCAGGCTGGCTTCAAACTCAGAGATCTGCCTGCCTCTGTCTCCTGAGTGCTATAACTAAAGACTTGCAACACCCTTATCTTACCCTAACCTTATCTACCTCTGCTGTGTTTTCATTTGTGATCCTGTTAATGGCAATGACGTCAGTTTGACCTCTTTCTTCATGGTTCCTGCACCTACTATTTCTTCTTCTTTACACATTGGCAGACTTTAAACAATGGAAGTTTGTTTTGGGGTTTTCTTTTTTATCTGCTTCTGATCTTAAAGTATTCAGCCGGGCGGTGGTGGCACACGCCTTTAATCCCAGCCCTCAGGAGGCAGAGGCAGAAGAATCTTCTGTGAGTTTGAGGCCGGGCTGGACCGACAGCCTCCAAAACAATACAAAGAAACCCTGTCTCATAAAAATCCAAAAAAAAAAAAAAAAGTATTCAAAGATAATTCATTATGTTTCCTGGTTTTATTGTAATGTTTGTCAAGTTAAGGAAACTCCTGTTGCTATTGTTCTAGGAGTGTTGTTCTTAGTAAAAAAAAAAATAGATAATTACCTTACTAAAATTCTTAAGTGACATCACAGCTAGCCATGAACTCAGAAACCTAATCTCGGGTTCCAGCTACCTAATGAGCAATCTTTTGTAGTGCTGGAGCTGGAACTTAGGCAAATGCTCTGCTGCTTGCTGCATCCACGACCCCGGAAGTACTCACTTGGGGGCCTGTTTGTAGAGTGAAGGCTTTGAATTCAATATCCAAGCTTGCCTAGGTCTTGTGTAAGGTTTCAGTCCCTCGTTAGAAATGACTCTGTAAAGGAATTTCATGATTAAATGTTGCTTTTCTTGTTCTCAGCTAATTTTGAATGACCCTATCTTGATGTATTTTATAATTCTCCAGCATTATCCAATATCAGTTTTGGTACCAAGCCATATGCCCATGGCTATGATGTCCCGTTGTGCGTATGGGGACTGTTCCAGGGCTGATGTCTCCAGCTGGTGGTTGTTCCTCACCCCCAGACACTCGAAACTCTTGATCCACATGTTGCTTAACAACAGTGTAACCAGAAGCAAGCCCTCATCCACCTCCTTCCATGTTCTGGCCGTGTGACTGCCTAGCCCCGAAGCTGCAGTCCACATAGATTCTTTCAGTCACTTACCGTTTATATCCACTCTGTGCTCCCCACAGAGGCTGCCACTGAATCACAAGGCTCTCTCTCCACCTCATCCCCCTTAGTGCAGCGGCCTAAGGCCTAGCCTCGATGCTCTGTTTACATGTACAAGCCCAGACATGCGCACACAGTCCCTGCTTCACTAATGTTCTTTCTGAAAACGTGCCCAAACTCTTCGGTGGCTCATGGCGCCTCCAGACCCAGGCCAGGCCCTTCACAGGCCTGATCATTAGGGCTGCCCTAGAACCAGCCTCCAAATGGGAGGAGCAGGTTGCAAAGACACTGCCTTTTGTTGTCTTTTTAAAACAGGCAGTCTTGAGACTAAAAGAGACGTCGTAATGTTAGGCCAAGAATGGCAGGTGTATCTGCCTGCTCATTGTGCATGGATGGCTCTGTCACCTGACCCCTGCCTGCCTTTCCACTGTATGCTACTGCCCCAGGCTCAGGTGTCCTGAGCTCTGCCAGTGCCCCCTTTACCCCGCCCACCTCCACCCTGGCTGCTGTCTCTCCCTCCTACACCTCTTTCCACGCCACTTCCTCTCCTCTGTGTCCTTGTTGCTGTGTGCTGACATTTCCCACTCCTGTCTCTCCAGATCACAGGCCTGTACCTTTTTTTTCTTTTCACTGCAGTAGATGGATACTAGGGCGTGTCCAGGCAAATGCCCTTCCACTGAGCCACACCCCTAGCTGGCGCCCGTGCCACCTTAAAGAAGCACAGGCAAAGCCCAACTCAGCATGATTCCCGGCAGCCTTCTCTGGCTCCCACCCTATCTGTATCGTGTAACACTGTCTTCAGCCAACCTGAGTCTCCCACCGTGGCTGGTGCACAAAATAAATGTTTGCCTAGTTCAGTGAAATTGTTAGCTAGCTGTTTGTAGGAAAGAATGTTTGGAAATGCAGTTCTCCTTCGATGTCCTAGTTGCTTGTTAGTGACATTTCAGTAATGAGGTCTTTGTAGTCATCCCTTCAGCATTACTGTGCATGTTTACTCATTAGGCACTGTGTCTGGGTGCTGTACACAGACCCACGACTCTGCCCTGGAGGAACCTGCCCCGTGGTGGAGAAAATGGACACTATGTCCACAGTAACTAACATGTCAAGTATATTACTTACTCTGGAAAGAAATGAGGCAGGAGGAGTAGACAGGGGAAGGGGCGCCATTCTAGGTATGAAGAGCCTCTACCATTTGAGAGCCACGTGAGCAGCTGGGGAAGAGTTATCTAGACCAAGGAAGCAGCAAGGGGGATGTTTGCGTCCTGTCAAAGGCAGCCAGCCAAGATTCTGTAAATCACCCCGCACACCTTGTAAAACGTTTTTACAGATCTTTTAATTTCCCCCACCTGGTAAAGCCGTTATTTACACAAAGCCCCAGCCTCCTAAGAACCAAGGCCACATTCCCAAACCTTAATGGCCTCTGACAGCCAACCTTTCTCCCTTCACTTCATTAACTTTGTGCTGACTCATTTAAAACTAGCCTGTCTGGGGCCTGGAGAGATGGCTCAGCAGTTGAGAGCACTGGGTGCTCTTCCACTGGAACACAATGGGAAATTCAGTCTGAGGAATGAGATTGAAAACCGCAAGGAGAACTTGAGACCACATGAGGGCCAAGTCTCTCCCTGAGTACCTCAGGCAGATACGATCTGAAGAGCTAGCAGCTGGAAATTTCCACGATTGACAAAAGACATGAACATCCATGGAGCTGGCAGCTCACAACTGTCTGTAACTCCAGTTCCAGGGGATCTGACACCCTCACACAGATATACATGCAAGCAAAACACCAATGCACATAAAAAAAAAACTGGCTTGCCCAAAAAGGCTGTGAGATAGGACCCCGGCCAGTGAGGAAAAATACAATCACCACCTGCGGTAGAATAAAAACCAAGCCAACTTCTTGTGCCATGTGCTTGCTGTGGCTCCATTTCGGTTCTGGCACACCTTTTTTTCAAAAAGAAGTTGCCTGGCCACGCTGCTTTTACTTTGTGCATATGTTTCTTTGTGTAACCAAGAGTAGTCTTTGTTTCTAACGGGTTTATGTAGGCTGGGGGGAGAAGGGAGTAAGGCCAAGTCTGCCATTCCCAGCCAGTGTGGCCAGGACTTGGTATTTTAACCTGGATATAGAAGAATGACTCTTGAGGGAACCAGAACAATGTGACTGCTTCTTAAAAGGAAAACATAAGACGGGAGCTGGGGCAGGGGCAGGGACGGACAAGAAGGCTGGATGGACAGCTATGGAAGGACTCAGATGAGCAGGGATGGAGGCATCAACTAAGATAGTGTTGAAAGATGTAAAAAGCCAAAGGGCTTAGGATTCGTGGTAAAGATAGAACAAAAAAGAGCTACTAATAGAGTTTCATGTGTTCTGTGACAAAGAAAATTCAAGAACTTCTGGCTAGGCTTGGCTCAGCAGCATGAAGGAAGAAGTGGTTTACTTTAGGCTGAGAGACTGATGGATCCATTGATCGAGGTTCTGGGGCTTGAAGCCAGGCCTCGCACATGCTAAACAAGTTCTCTCTCACCCCACACTGTAAATCGTCCTGTCTCAGCCTCCCACTTGCTGGAATTATAAGGTTTACCACCAAACCCAGCATAGACTGAGTCAGAAAACGAGGGGCAGTCCTGAGTTAGACTCACTGAAGCGTAAGCAGCGTGTAGGCCAAGGACTGGGCCGTGAGAAAATGGGTAGGCAGGGAGCAGACCTGGAATGTGGGAGTGTGTCCTACCGGCTGACCTCATAAGAAGAAACTTACAGAAATCAGTTTAATTGAAAACTAATTTTCTAATATTTTCAGTGTGATGAGAATGTCAGCTTGGAAGCATGACTCACCAGAGTGACACTGGGCCTTTAAGGCTTTATGTCTTACTGGCGTTTCAGGATGTGCCGTTTGGCCTAAGATTTGGCAATACAGTTTGGTGATCTCTTGTGTCGTCAGCCCATTCTTGGGTCTCATCTCGGCACCCAGTGTGATGAGAGCATGAATCTGAAAGATTATGTTTGATGAAGGTACAGTCTGTGGAGGGTCGCTAAGTTGGAATCAGGGCTATTTGTCGCGTTTGTTGTTCTCTGAACTGTACTAGCCCTTCTATACCAAAACCAGGAGAAAACAAACTACTCGTAAATATTAAGACTAAAGCTAGGTGTAATGGTAGCTGTCTGTGATCCCAGTTCTGAAGAGGCTGAGGCAGGAGGATTGTCATGAGCTTAAGGCAAACCCAGAGGCGTCAGAATGAAACCCTATCTCAAAAAAAAAAAAAAAAAAGGCATTCATACTGAACTCAAACTTACTCATCTGGTATGAGACTGCTGCACTTGTAAATGCGGACAGATGTTTTTTCCCACTCTCAGCAGCCCAGCCCGTCTGTTTCTCTTGTCTATGGAGAGAATGAGGAATTCTTTTTTTGTTTGTTTGTTTTTGTTTATTTGGTTGGTTGGTTGGTTTTTTGAGACAAGGGTTTCTCTGTGGCTTTGGAGGCTGTCCTGGAACTAGCTCTTATAGACCAGGCTGGTCTCGAACTCACAGAGATCTGCCTGCCTCTGCCTCTCAAGTGCTGAGATTAAAGGTGTGTGTCACCACTGCCCAGCTAAGAATGAGGAATTCTTAAGAAAGCCTACTAGAGCCGGGCGTTGGTGGCACATGCCTTTAATCCCAGCACTCGGGAGGCAGAGGCAGGCGGATCTCTGTGAGTTCGAGGCCAGGCTGGACGGACAGCCTCCAAAACAGAGAACCCCTGTCTCGTAAAAAAAAAAAAAAAAGAAAAAAAAGAAAAAAAGAGAAAAAAAGAGGGAGAGCCTGCTAAATCCTAGATGTTTGCTGTCTCTGATAAACTTGGGTTGAGAATTCCTTCAAAGAGATTCTTGGCTTTAATATGCTCAGGGGATGTTAATTCCTTCACTCAGCAGCTGTCTATTGTCTCCTGCTCTGTGCCAGGCGCCGCCGCCATAGCCCAGAGAAAACAGCAACAGACGAGACACTCTTGGTTTGGTTTTTGAGGCATGAGTTATAAAGCCCAGACTTGTCTAGAGCTCACAGTCCTCCTATTTCAATCTCTTCCTCCCAAGTGCTGTGATCATAGGCTCACACTGCCCCCACCCAACCCCCACCCCCACCCCGCATCCCCGCTGCCCACACCCTACCTGGCTTTTGAGATGCCAAGGAAACACTGAGTCTGCTGTCTCCAGTGTCTTTGCTCCTGCTGCAGCCACTCAGTCTTCCTGACCGGACCCTGACTCAGGCCTTCTGGGGTTACTCGGGATCAGTGTACTCGCAGGTTCCTTTTGAATTCTGGGGAATGTGGTCTACATATGTGGATAACAGTTCTCCTTAGTATAGAGACACACACCCACAGGACCCAGAGTCCTTGATAGCAGCCTTCTGAGTACAGCTGCCAGGATCCCCACAAGATCATACCCAGTTCCAAATTCCACTGATCTCCAGAAGCCCAAAGCCAGGGCACACCCATCATGCACTGCTTTTCTCCCAGACAAGACTGGGCGCAATTCTTGTTTCCAGAGAATAGAGAGAGAGACATTTGTCAATTTTGCCCTACGAGAATGAGAATGAGTTGTGTATCTTTGCTTTACAGTTACTTTTCTCCTAAATGCTGTCAAGGAATAGGCCTGGGAGGGAGGGGTGGCTGATGCCATGACCGTCACACATTTGTTCTGCAACAGATGTCAAGTAGCTTCAGCCTGCGTGCTGGACAATGACGTGTTGCTGGAGTACAATGATGCCTTGTTCTTCATTTTGCAGATCAGCCATCATGGCGAACCTTAGCTACTGGCTGCTGGCACTCTTTGTGGCTATGTGGACTGATGTTGGCCTCTGCAAGAAGCGGCCAAAGCCTGGAGGGTGGAACACTGGCGGAAGCCGATACCCTGGGCAGGGCAGCCCTGGAGGCAACCGTTACCCACCTCAGGGTGGCGGCACATGGGGGCAACCCCATGGTGGTGGCTGGGGACAGCCCCATGGTGGTGGCTGGGGACAGCCCCATGGTGGTGGCTGGGGTCAGCCCCATGGTGGTGGCTGGGGTCAAGGAGGTGGCACCCACAATCAGTGGAACAAGCCCAGTAAGCCAAAAACCAACATGAAGCACATGGCCGGCGCTGCTGCGGCAGGGGCCGTGGTGGGGGGCCTTGGTGGCTACATGCTGGGGAGTGCCATGAGCAGGCCCATGATGCATTTTGGCAATGACTGGGAGGACCGCTACTACCGTGAAAACATGAACCGCTACCCTAACCAAGTGTATTACCGGCCAGTGGACCAGTACAACAACCAGAACAACTTTGTGCACGATTGTGTCAACATCACCATCAAGCAGCACACAGTCACCACCACCACCAAGGGGGAGAACTTCACGGAGACCGACATCAAGATAATGGAGCGCGTGGTGGAGCAGATGTGTACCACCCAGTATCAGAAGGAGTCCCAGGCCTACTACGATGGAAGAAGGTCCAGCGCGGTGCTGTTCTCCTCCCCTCCTGTGATCCTCCTCATTTCCTTTCTCATCTTCCTGATGGTGGGATGAAGGAAGCCTCCCTGCTTGTACTTCCTCGTTCTTGTGGTCTAGGCTGGGGGAGGGGTTATCCACCGTAGCTCTTTTAATTGAGGTGGTGTCTCATTCCTGCTTCTCTTTGTCCCCCATAGGCTAATGCCCTTGGCACTAGTGGGCCCTGGGAATGTACAGTAGACCAGATGCTATTCGATCCAGAGCCTTTGAATTGAGTCCATCACGGGCCAGCACTAACACCAGGCCTATCTGAATATAACAGCAAGTAATGGCTGGCTAGTCAGGGCTTTGTTTTGGTCTAGTGAGTAAATACTGATGTGACCCTCTGACTTCCACACAGAGTACGCAGTGACAGACACACCTAACTGTTAAAATAGGCGAAGGGTTCTACAGCCAAAGAAGTCACTGTTTGGCATGGTCCCTAAGAAACAGCCTCCCATTTGGGATATTTAAAGCATCCATATGAGGCATTCCTCCTTCACTAACAAACTCTAGCTGAGTAAGGCAACGGGAAAAAAACAAAATTACCCTACTAACATGGAAAGCAAACCTGTGTTCATTTCCTAGGAACTAGAATGATGTTTTAGCCTTGCTTGGATTGAACCAGGAGATTTTGGCTCTGAAGAGCCAACACTGTAAAAATGTGGTCCTCCTGCAAAGGGAGAGATGGTTAGGACACAAAGTCACGGCGCTTGGCGTTTCTTCATTTCTGTCTCATAATTGTCAAAAGTCACAATTAGGTCATGCCCTTAGTTAATATACTTGTATTTGAATCGGACGACAAGAGACAATCTAAAAATTCTCCTAGGTTGTAGATGAAATAGGCTCCATTCAAGGTGAAAAGACAGTTTGTTAGCGTTGCTTATGTAAGGCAAACTTTGTTCCTTAAGTTGCTCCGTGTTTCCCTGAGCAGACATAACCACTCTGCAACAGCATTGCCCTGCTGTAGAATATATAAAGTGTAACTACAAGCTTAGACCTTCTGTTCTGATGCATCCGAAGTACGTAATGCACTGACCATTTCACCCGGTATCAGATGTTTTCTGTGTGGCCCCTAGCTTTCCTTCAACATGCATTCGGTTCCATATATGAATCCAAAGTGGACCCCCTAACTGGTCTCTGAAATCTGCATGTACTTCACATTTTCTATATTTGTAACTTTGCATGTCCTTGTTTTGTCATATAAAAAGTTTATAAATGTTTGCTATCTGACTGACATTAAATAGGAGCTATGATGAGCACCCCTGCAGGGTTTGTTCTCTGTTCTCTGCTTCTGGCCCTTGTGTTTGTTGCCAGGGTAACTTGGGCTCACACAAGGTAGGTAATGGCTAATTTCACATGCCTTCCCCTGATGGGCCTCAGTTCTTACCTCTGGTCATAGATTACTTTTTTTCTACTGCCTTTTCATTTTTCCCTTATATGTACTCAGCCCTGCTGAACCACAAAGGCATCCCTGGGGGGAGGTTGTATGTAGGTAGGGCTCATGTTCTGAAAGAGGTTTTCCCCCACCCCCTCCCTCCCCCCTCCCCCTTCCTCCCTCCCTCCCTTCTTTAATGTGTATCAGGAGTTTGCCTGCATGTACTTGTCTGTGTACCACATGCTTTGCCCTCGAGTCAAAAGAGGGGCTCAGATCCCCTGAAATTGAAGTTACAAATGTTTGTGAGCCATTATGTGGAGTCTGGAACTCAAACCCAGGTCCTCTGCAAGAAGAGCTAGTGGTCTTAACCAGTGATTCACTGCACCAGCCCCAGTGGAAATGTCTTCCTGAATTCAGATTCAGTTTCTCTCATTTCTCTTCTCCCTTCTCTCCCTCCCTCCCCGTTTGTTTGGACCATACTATGGTGTTTGAGCCCAGGTCTCTAACATACTGATCTATGCCTCCATCCCTAAAAGTTTGGGGGTGGGGGACCTGGGGGTGAAATCGTGTTAATTTTTCTCACTGTACAGCCGAGGCTGCTCTAGAACTCACTAGGTAATCCTGACTGGCTTTAGACTTGTATCGGTCCCACTGCCCTAGTCTCTCCCAAGTGTTGAGATTACAGTGGTGGGTTCCCATGCCTGGTTTTCTTTTTCTTCTGAGACAAGGTGTTTCTACATAGCCCTGGCTGCCCTGGAACTCACTATAATATAGAACAGGCTGGCCTTGAACTCACAGAGGTCCTCCGGCTTCTGCCTCCCAGGTGCTGGGATTAAAAGTATACATCATCATGCATAGTTTAGAAATAGATTTTCATGATTAAAATGAAACTTAAGTTCCAAAGTGCCTATTTTAAACCCCCATAACTCATGCCCTGCAATTTCAGCTTCAACCTGTTGGCCCAAAAGGCCACTCTTGGCAATTCATTCTGTAAAGGTGTTCGTTGTAACAGCAGGCATCAGCGCAGCCATGTGCTTGCTCACCTGGTAGAAATTTTCCTGCGCAGCTGTCATGTATAAAGGCAAGAAATCCTAAGAAGCCTTGATGGAAACCACAGTGTTCCTTCCTGAGGATGCTTCTGCTGTGATAGTGCCACTGCAGGCCTTTCAGGATCACCCAACCTGCTGGAGTAGGGCGGGGAATCCTACTCCAAGAGGCCTGTGGGATTAAGGCAACCATGACATTCACAGGCCATATAGGAGAGTTCTTCAGTAGTGACTCCACCATGCAGAAGAGAAGCCCAGAGACAAAGACCTCATCAAGTACCTGTAACTTGAGTTCAGGGAGGAGTCCACAGAAGGCAGGGGGTGGTGGAGGACTTGTGGATGAGTTTCATTGATAATAGATAATCAACAGCATCAGGCAGCACCTTTGGCCAGAACAGTTCTCTTCACACAGTGCACACATTGTCTTGAGCAGGGTACGTGTCTATTTGTAGAAGATGCTGAGACATCAAGGAACCCCGATGCTGACACCCATCTCCTGCAGTAATCAGAGAGTCAATGTTGTACCTAAGATGAAAGGATAACACCTTGAGACATCATCATTCACAAAAATAAAAGCAACGCAAACTCTCAAAAGCATTTAACTGAAAATGCATCTCAGAGCCAATCCTTAACAGAAGTTCTTACAAACCATTTTCACCCTACCTTTTGGGCAGTTTCCTACTTAGAAATAAACTTCATTATCAATGGTAATTTCTCAACTGGCCCACTAAGCGATAAGACCAGTCCAGAGTGAGTCTTTCACAAGCTCTGCATGAAGAAATTTTACCTAGAAAGCAACTAATGCTGGGGAGACAGCTCTGTTTCCTGTGCAAACATGAGGGACTGAGTTCAATGCCCAGAACCCACATTAAAAAGCCAGGGGTGATGGCGTTCACTTGTATTGCAGCATTGGGGAGGTGGGCTCCATGGCTAGCCAGCTAGCCAACTCGGCAGTTCCGGGTCAATGAGAGAACATATCACACAAAGTGGATGACTTATAAAGAATGACACTCAAGATTGACCTCCAGCCTCCACATGCACTCAAACATGCAAACACACCCTCATAGACAGAGACAAGAGAGTTAAAAAAATAAAAAATGCCTTAAGTCTACCCCTGTCTGTCCACTAGACAGTTCTACAGAACTGCTGGATGCTGCCTTTATCTCCCCCCACCTTAATCCTTTAAGGACTTCAAAGTGTCCTCTGCCTCTGGAGGGAAATAGGTGTGTACTACTATCTACTCCATAAGGAGCCTTAATCCAGAACCCCAGCTTTTCCAGACCTCTGGCCTGACCTGGCCAGCTGACCCAAATGTTCTGATTCATTTCCACTTACGCCAGGTGACCTCTCTGGCCCCACAGAACTCTACCTGACAATTGGGATTTGGATACACTAACCTATTTCTATCCTTTGCTTCACCTATGAGTCTCAACCACATTTGCCAGGGAAACTACAACCTGGTCCACATGTTTTGTTGGATGCCTCTTGACCTGGAATAGGGCTTCTTGAAGTTGAATATACATAGGAATCTGCCAGTCCCAACTCCTGGGTCTTAGAAAAAGTTCCTAGATGATGCTCTGCTAGACCCATAGACCACTCCAGCACAAGGCCTTGTAAGTTCCCACACTGGCAACTGAATCTGCAACCTTCGGAAGACTTGTAACACACAGTGATGGGTCCCACCTATAGGGTTGCTGATTCCTGTGAATGGGGTGGAGCTTGGAAATTCACATTTCTAACAAATTCCCAGGTGATAAGATGTTGCTGACGCAGACATTGTGCCAAGAAATCTACTGCCCTCTGGAAGATCAAGAAATGGAAGGCTACCCAGCTCTGACATACAACACCAGAGACCAGATATCTGCCTGGAAATACTCTTTGGAGAAAACTGGGCAAATGACAAATGGGATGTGAAAAGGGATTGGTAAGTCCCGCTGTGTGAACGCCGTGAGGTTCAGCCCCAGTCCTGAGGTCTGCTATTAGTGAGATGTTTAGCTGAATCAGGGTGGGAGCCATCCCCAGAAGGCTGCTCACACATGTGTCTTAGTCACTCAAGGTTAGTTAAATGCAGGCCCTGAGACTGCAGGCCACCGCAGGCTCTGTAATTCCACAGTCTGTGGGGTCTGCAAGGTCCCAGATGATCTTCAACTGCTGATCTGAAGACTAGACGTGAGAAACAAAGAGTGGAAGTTGGGGTCATTCATACACCTCTAGCGGCTAGACAGGCATTTGGTGGAACCATTGAGGTCTCAGAACATGGCAGAGGCATCATTGCCTCCTAGTGTTTCTTGTGTTATTTTGTTTCTTTGTTTGGTTTGTGGGGTTGGCTTATGATAGGCTCTCATATAAACCTGGCTGGCCTCTAACTCTGGAAATCTGCCTACCTCAGCATGCCCAGAAACCTTCTCTTATTTCTAAGAAGTCTCTCCTGGTCAACAAAATGAGTGCCCTTCTGGCAGTGAAACTTGTAGTTTATTTAAGATCTGACACCATCAGCTGACTTCCCTGGAGAGTTCTCCTGAGACTCAGGCTCTCTTCTGCATTACAACTTAACCCCAAGACCACCCAGTCTCCTTAGACTTCTGCAGCTTCACTTGCTCTGTGTAAGTTGCCCACAGATCCTGCAAGGGAACAAGGAAAGTGGCATTTGGTGCCATGTAGTTTCTCTAAAATGGATATAGATAGACCTTGGGGATTCAAGAGGCATATGTAAAATAAATAGTAATTTTCTTCAGAAATATGACAAGGACATCCAGGGGTAGCTGCCTCAAAGCCAGCATCCAGCCAAAGGAGACCTCTGCCCTTCATCCCAAGAGCCCAGGACTGATTCTTCAAGATGCTGCTTCTGGATCCAACATTTCATAATACTTTGACAACCCAACAGGGCAGGGAATTAGGCCTCAGAGGTCCATTATTGTCCCACATGGCCCCAGGTCACACTTCTGAGACACTGGCTTCTCCAAAAATTCCTCAGATCCAAGTTGGAGTGCTGCAAGAGTCCCCTGCAGGCCTCTCCTCTGATCCCATTGTCTTTTTCCAAAACCGTGTCCAGGTACCAAGGATGTTGGAACTCTCTTCTCAAAGACCAGGCCTCTTATATTCACCTCTTACATCAGCCTCTTATCTGTTTGTTCTCTCCTGGGTGGGTGACCATGTGAATATTTGACTCTGTGACCTGTAGATAGCTGAAGTGTGGCTGTAAGGGACAAGGAGATTCAGAGAAAGCTTGGGTACATGAGTGTTGAGTGTCTACGTCTGTGAATTCCAGACCCTTACACAAGGTGCATAAGGTAGAGAGAGGAGGGGTGGGCACAGGCGGGGGGGGCCTCCCTTTGAATTCTTTCTCTCAGCCCTGCTAATACCACAGGCAACCTTGTCCCAAAGCATCATGGGAAAGAAAGTGAAGGATTTTTACATTACTCTGACAAGTGCCTCCAATCATGAAAATAATGTTAAGTTTTCCCTTAGGATGAACTAGTTGTGCTATGTTCACAGAAACCTCTCAGACCTAGAAATTAGTAGATTTTCACATTGGTAACTTCCAGCCAATTCAACTACAATTGACAGTCACTCCTCCAGGAACTTTCTTGGTGACCCTCTAGAAGGTGGCCAGTGCTACAGAAATTTCTTACAGCATCCATGTTAGTTGGTTATGCTTTCCTCCAGTGTCATCAATACCTCATGATAGCTTAATGGAGGAAAAGTTTGCTTTGACTCACAGTTTCTGAAGTTTCAGTTCATGGTCGCTTGGCACCATTGTTGTGGGTGTCCTATGGCAAAGATTGTGATGGGAAGGATGTAGTGTGGCAGGCTGCTCACCTCATGGTTAGAAAGTAGA